CGCCCCCCCCCCCCCCCCTCCCCCTCTTACCCCCCTCCTCCTCGCACCCGGTCCTGGGAGGCATGTAGCGCCTGTAGGGGTTTTCTACCAGGCGTTCGGTGGAGATGCCGGGTCGGCTGATTCGCCTTCCGCTGTGGACGCTGGAGCCTGGGGGGACCAAACATGACTCTCTCTGGCAGCAGGTGTGTTCGTCGAAGTGCCTGGCTCAGCTGGTTCATTGTCCCCGTCATGCAAGACAGCAGCAGCGTTGACTCTGAACGCATGCACGAGAGTGTGCACATCCCGCAAGGGGAGCCTGGCGGTTTTGCACAGGCTGGGAGGGACGAAGGCAGGCAAAAGAACGGAAGGAACGATGGATGTATCCTGAAAACGCCAACGCCTGCCTAGCGAAGGGGGGAAGGCTTTGGACCCGGCTCATTTTTCACCCGACGATACGGTATACGGTATACCTCGATGGCACAGCAAAGAATGGTGCAATGTGGGGGGTTTCGTGATCCCATCATGGGCCATCAATGATCATGCTCGACGTGCTGAATCCTGCGATCCATGAGACATTGGCGTGTGCTCCAAATTGCCCCATCGCCAGCACGGCTCCAATTTGCAACTCGAACCCGGACGGCAGCGGCGACGGGGACGTATCAGGGGCTCCCCCCCCCCCCCCCCCCCCCCCCCCCCCCCCCCCCCCCCCCCCCCCCCCCCCCCCCCCCCCCCCATCCCCCGCCGCCCCCTCCGCCCCTGGCCACCAGTCCGAGGAGTCAATGACCTCCGAGAACGGTGACAGCGAATGTCGTGTGCCGTGACGCAATTGACCAAGCTTACAGCCTGGTCCGAATGTGTGTTTTGAACGAAGCCCGCCACCAGCGCCAATGCGAACGGCTGGCTGGTACCAGAAAAAGCCAGGTGCCTCGGCCGGTCGACCATGACTCCATGAGCCTGGCCCCGCCAAGGCGACGATATCAACCTTGGACAATCAGATGCTGAATCGATTGCATGGCTTTGCTCACTCGACCGTGTGCTTTGTGTGCTTCTCGGGCCTCGTCCGTCAGGGTGAACCGACGGCTAGGAGATCTTCGTTGGTGTTTGTTTATCAGATCTCACACCGCAACATCGACCGGGATGCCATTGCACAGCGGAGATGCATCGTTGGTTGGGTTGCTTTCTACTGAGCAGCTGGCGCCATTGCCGCCGAAAGACGTTGCCGTGGTGCTTCCAACGTCGTGCGCTCATGTTGACCATGGTGGAAAATTATCTACGCCAGCGTTTACGAAAAACCATTGGTACCAAATCGCCCTCATGCCCTCATGGTAATCAAGAGCCAATCCAGGGGGGCAGGATAGCCTGATTGTCACTGATACGTGGCAAGGCCCCGGCAAGGGAGAGAGGGAAGGGGGTGGTGAATCGTGGAGGTGAGGGCGTGTCCGTCCGTCCGTCCGTCATGCGATGATGCGACTACGAGGCTGCCGCCAATGCGCTTTCTCCTCGACGCAGAATCGGGAGGTAATGCACTATTTCTACTCTAGGCCAGTTGCTGCTGCTCAATTTGAGCGTCCATTGCTGCGTATTCCCACTGCCCGTTGATTTGTCTTGTCGTCAGGATCAGCTTGACAGAACCTGGACGCAACGAACTGGAGCATAAAGCAAAGTCGATCCCGCCCAGAAGTAGGAAGCCGCTGGCTGGCTGCGGCCCACGGCCCTGCATCACCACTGTGGCCTTGGCTTTCTCTTCGGGCGGCACTGAAGGCCATGGGCGGATTTGAAAGCGCCGTCCGTAACATCGGCCGCCCAACGACACAAAGGACCGCCGCCGCCACGGTCCCATATCCTGTCTCTCAGCATCTTGTCACGGCCCACAGCTCAAGTCTTCGAGGCTTCCGAGTGCCCCGGCCGTGACCAATCATCCATTGGCCGGCTGACACGGACTCGAGGTCCTCTCCAGCCGCGCAGCACGGCTGCGATCGGGGCCACGCTGTTCGCAGTGATGCTTTGCCTCTGCGAGTCTGGGCCTTTATATTCTGGCCCGTGTTCAGACTTGGGGGTCAGGCAGCTAGTACTCGGCTGTCACCTCCAGCAGTTTTCCGATCTTTTCGCCAAGTCTCGGCACGAGCGCGTCTCACACGACAAGTGCTGTCTCTGTGAGAATTCCTCCGCGTACTGCTCACGGAATTTGTGCCGTTTTCTGGTCGTCGTAAAATTCATGTCCAGCCTCCTTCTCTGCGGGTCAGGTACAGACGCGGGGCGGAGAGCGAACGTGTGGTGTGTATGGTGGCGGTCTGAAGAACCCGGGTGGTTTTGCCCGCCCTTCCAGTCACACGCGAATTCAGGTGTCAGGCGTCCAGCCGTGTCTACTGAATGTCGCAGACTTTTTTGTTTTCCGTCGCTATCCCACTGACGCCGAGATGTGACAAAAGTGCCGCGGCCAGAATTGGCCCTCCGCAGGCGTAGTCTTTGACCACCTACCTACCTAGGTACCCTGTAGTTGCGTGTCATAATTCATGGATCGCCTGGGGCAATGCAGGCACGCTGTTGTTACCTTGGAGAGTAAAAAGAAGAGCACGTGCCGAGATGCTGCATTTTCGTTCACCACCTTTTTGTTTCATCATCCCTCGACGGTAAAAAGCGGAAAGCGGGAATGCAGTGCAGAAAAGCATGCCTACAAGGAGTATCATCAAAAAACATTCATGGGAGCGAGGAAAAAAAATGTTGGCCATGAGATGGCATGCAAATGGGGCCTGATGACACCCAAAAAAATGACATGACACCTTGAGTGCCGCAGCGAGGACTCGAACCTCGGTTTCCAGTGACTTGTAGATGATATCCACAAACTAATGTCCTCACCCCTAGACGACTGCGGCTATTGTTGAGAGCCGCGTCGCTAACTTGACCTAAGTTGCTGGGCACAAAAACTGTGGAGTCGTGGCCCCTTGTCGCCGGTCCATAGTCCGTCGTCGTCGTTGGGGAGGGAGGGTTGTCATGCTGCAGTTACACCTTTAACTGTCTTGAATTCAAAGTCTTGATTTCAAATCCCGGAAATTCAAATACTAGAAAGATACTAACTCCTCGATATCATATCGATGAATGTTTCAACATTGTTCTGGAAAAAATTCGATCCGCTACTCGTGATTCTTTTTTTCGCGATGCCACACGTCCTTTTCGGGCTATTTGCGCACCACGCGACAGCCGGCGTCCGGTCACGGCACTCTCGGAACAAATTCCTCGAACCAGATGCTGTGTCGCCGAACCGAATCACCAGACATCACCACATCATGGAAAGGCGGCGAATTAAAGGCGCCCCCGGCCCGCCGTCATCCCTCGGACCCCCTCGACCCATCATCTTCCAGCAATCACTTCAGGTCCAGTCGCCCGGCCAAGGTAACGAACGAACGGGCTGCCCCGTATCCACCCCCAGGACGATTTGCCTCGGCCGATCCAGGGCGCCAATGACACCCAAACCCATGAACCGGCCATGTTGGACTTTGCAGATCCAATGCCCTCCTCCCCTTCCTGTTCGCTTACACGTACACACACGCCTCGTCGTTTGACCTATACAGGCTCTTGTTAGAACAGCCCATGGAGTCATCCGGGGCGGATAGAGGCTTCTTTCAAAAGGCGCCCGTTCTGAAGAACCAGGCGCTGGAGGATGAATCTTTCAAGCGCTGTTTTGACCGTGAGTGCGGTTCCCCAGCAATAATACTGATTCCTTCCCGCCGTTTGTTTGGTTTTCCCCCCACATACAAACTGACTTGATCGATCAGTCTTCTTGTCCCGGGACGTTATATCCAAGGCCGGACCCGAGGTATCGTCCCTCGGCCAGGCCGTGATATCCGATCAGGTGTTTGCGTGGATCACGGATGCAGAGCGCAACAAGCCATATCTCAAAGGGTCTGGCCGAGATGCCTTTGGCCGCTGGACAGGTGAGCTTGTGACGGGTGAAGGATGGCGCAACTTGCAAGACTTTGGCATTTCAAAAGGGTGAGCCTTTTTTTTTTTTTTTTTTTTTTTTCTTCACAATCTCATCTCGTCATATCTTGATTGGTCGGCCGAAACTTAAAGCACGCCAACTAAAAAGAAAAAACAAACTGTAGAATAGTTGCCACAGGCTACGATGTCTCATCATACGGAGCCTTCTCGCGTCCGCTCCAGTTTCTCAGAACGCACCTATGGGTCGGGTCCTGCGCCAACGTCGGCTGCCCATCCGCCATGCAGGACGGCGCTGCTTGCCTTCTCAGACGCCATCTCACGCAGGCCGGATCAAGTACTCGCCTCTCGACCGTCGAGAAGAAGGTGTTTGAGAGCGCGTACAAGCGCCTGACGTCCCGCCAGCCGGGATACGCATGGACAAGTGGACAGTGGATGACGGAGCGGACGGGCGGAAGCGACGTGTCCCTCACCGAGACGGTGGCGACGTACAATCCCGGCACAGCGGGCGGGCTCGCGTCCAAAGAAGACCAGGTCCCCCTGGGACCATGGGACATCAACGGCTTCAAGTGGTTCTCCAGCGCAACCGACTCGGAAATGACGGTCCTGCTGGCCCGGACCACAGCCGGCGGAGTGAGCACATTCCTCGCCCCGATGCGCAAACACGACCCCCATGCCACGACGCTCGCCGGCGAACCCGATGACAGCGGCCGGACTCTCAACGGCGTCCGCATACAGCGGCTGAAGAACAAGTTCGGCACGCAGTCCCTCCCCACGGCGGAGCTGGTCCTCGAGAACATGCGCGGCTGGCTCATCGGCCAGGAAGGCAGAGGCGTCCACGAGATCAGCACCATCCTCACGCTGACCAGAATACACTCTGCCGTGGCGGCGGTCGGCGGCGTCGGTCGCGGCCTGGCCATCGCGCGAGCCTACTCGCTCGTGCGGGAGGTCGGGGCAGGGAACAAGGCGAGGATGAGGCTGGTCGACAGTCCGCTGCACATGCGGACACTGGCCAAGCTGTCTTCGGAATATCACCGCCTCATGCTCGTCACCTTCTACACCTCGTACATCCTCGGCGTCTCGGAGCACAGCCCCAGATCCCCGCACGATTCGCCCGCTTCGCACGCACTACAGGTCCTCACACCTCAGAGGAGGCTTCTCGGTCCGCTCCTCCGCATCATGACGCAGCTCGCCAAGGCATACGTCTGCAAGCCCAGCGTGTCACTGCTCTTCTCCTGCATGGAGGCCCTCGGCGGAGTGGGCTATCTGTACAACGAAGAGCAGGAGCCTCTCAACATTGCTCGGCTCTACCGCGATACCTGCGTCCTGCCCATCTGGGAGGGCACGACGGACGTCCTCTGCACCGACTTGATCTGCGCGCTGAAGCACCCGTGCGCCGGGGCCGACAGCATCGTCGCCCTGGACCACGTGGTCCGCCAAGCGGGTTCCTCTGTCGGCAAGGTCGAAAAGCCGAGTGGGTGGGATCCCGTCCGGGAGTGGACGTCCTGGAGGACGCACCTGGAGGGCACGTCACAGGCGGATCTGATGGGTGAAGCGAGGGAAGTAGTATGGGCCCTGGGGGACCTGGTCGCGGGCCTGTTGCTGTACGTCGATGCCGGCAGCGATGGGAACGCTGCGGCAGGGGAGGTTTTGGTGCGATTCCTCGAGGAAAAGGGCGAGATTGAGGGCCGCAGGAGGGGGAGGTTGGAGGATGAGTTGCGAATGGATATGGGGATTGTGTTTGGTATCGAGAAGGGCATGCTGGGTGCCAAGTTGTGAAAAAAAAAGGGGGGGGGGGGAAAGGCGTCGCTCTTATGGGTGGATGACTGCAGTAAGTACAATGAAGTCTGTGATGGCTCCAGATTGACCCCTTTCCAGTGAATAGCATGCTTCGGGGTATGAGTGCTGGCGACGACATTTCCGCTCACGTTACCATTGGAAGAAACTATCATCTTGTATACGCACAGTCTAATTTAGCCTGGTCGAAATCTACAAGTAAGCGTGCGAGTTTGCGGAGAAATGGGATTCAAGAGAAGCGACAGGGACGCGCAGGATTTTGTAAGGGCTTGAGCGGTGCTTGAGTGTATGATGATGGAGTTCTTCAGTGTCAGGACTCAGATCCAAGGGAGTCAATGCGCATGCAGCCACGAGCGTCTCATCACCAAGATGCCTTTGCCCTCCCTTCTTTCTTCACCACCCGCCATACTACGTTATGCGTCTCATGTGCTGGCTGGACCAGCGCAATGACCCATCCAGGTCGGACGTGCATTCCGAATGGTTTGAATCCGGAGCGGTGTTTTTGGAGATGGGCGATGATGATGGCGATGAAGAGAGGCTGGTGTTGTGATCAATGAACTCGGCAGAGAATGTCATGTGAAGAGCTCCACAGCTTCTACAAGTACTGTAACTCGTGAGGAAGGCACGGCCGGCACGCACCTCTCTCTTGGCGCCACCCCCGCCATCCGTCGTAACGAAATCGAGATTCCACGGGACGCATTGTGAATGGACAAGCCCCCATTCTTCACCACTGATGGTAGCATCCGAGCGAGCAGAAGCAAATCACTCTTGAGTCGTCACCTTTTGCTTCACAGTTGAATGGTTTCAAGCCACTTTTTTCTTTTCGCAACTACAGACTTCACCCTCCATCTTTCCAAAACATGGCAATGCCCAACGACGTGTGGGAGGAAATCTCCCGAGACATACCATCCGTCTCAGATCCCTTTCTACAGCAGTACATGGCGGGCCGAGCGAATCTGATCGATCAGGAAAAGTCTCGTCGGTCGGACGCGTGTTTCCGGAAATCTCTCTCGCCGATCGCCAAGCGGGCCTGCGCCATTGTAGATGGCATCCGCAGCCATGAAGCCAAAACGGTCTGGACGGCCGACGTGGAAGAGGACATGGCCCAGAGCTCACACCAGAACATCTTCCCCGGCATGATGTTCATGATGGCCAAGAGTCGCATGGAGAGTACCAAGCTGTGGAAAATCGTGCGACGGATGCCAAAAGGCTGCCTGCTGCATTCCCACATGGATGCCATGGTCGACTTTGACTTTTTGCTCGAAACGCTTCTTGCCACCCCTGGAATACACATGTCGAGTGACCGACCGCTGAGCAACGCCGACGCTCTCGAGAATGCGGCCATGAACTTTCGATACAAGGCCGAGGCGAGGACGGAAGGGTCCATCTGGCACGCGTCGTATCGCCCCGAGTCGTTTATTCTGCTTACCCAGGCGGCCGACGACTTCCCTGACGGGGGGCGCAAGGGCTTTCTCCGGTGGCTAAAGAGCCGCTGCACCCTGTCGAAAGCCGACAGTCATGAGCAGCACCACGGCATCGACGCCATCTGGAGGAAGTTTGTCAAGTGTTTCATCGTGGTTGCCACCATCATCCACTACGAGCCCATCTTCCGTGCTTTTTTGCAGAGACTGATGAGTCAGCTGAAATCGGACGGGGTCAACTGGGTAGAGCTGAGGTGTGTGTGTTTTCCCTGAGCCGGTAGAAGGATACTATGCTAACGGTCGACTCAGATTCACGTGGCCGCTGAACTATTGTCGCGACCGCCAAGAAGAGCCGGAGCGAGACTACAGCCACATGTTCCAGGTGATTGAACAAGAGCTGGCCAAGTTCAAGGCCACTCCAGAGGGCAAAGGCTTCTGGGGCCTGACCACGATCTGGACCACGCTCCGTAGTTCGGATACTAGAGACATGATTGAACATATGGACCACTGCCTGACGACGAAGCTGGAATTCCCGCATCTCATCGCTGGGTATGATTTGGTCGGGCCCGAGGACTTTGGCAAGCCACTGGCGGATGTGCTGCCGGAGCTGTTTTGGTTTCGTAAACAATGCACTCTGGAAAAGGTCAACATCCCCTTCTTCTTCCACGCAGGGGAAACACTTGGTGACGGGAACAGCACCGACAACAACCTGTTTGATG